TGCTTTGCACTCTGTAGTTCAGGCAGCAGAGCACGTGTCTTGCAGCAAATCCACCAGCACATTTAACCAGCAGACATGCAGAGTTGCAAACAGTGCAAAGCAGGCACAAGACTAAAGAAACGGAGAATTAAAAAAAAAAAAAAGTATGATTAACTTTGAACTTCAAACTTTGGATTTAGTAATTTAAGTTCATAACTTCATATATAACTTAARAGTTCGAGCTTTGCAATTCAATTCAGAACCAGTCTTCAGACTGGCAGCACTGTCAGTGTTCTCTCTCTCTCTCTCTCTCTCTCTCTCTCTCTCTCTCTCTCTCTCTCTCTCTCTCTCTTCCCCAACGGGCAGGAGCGGCGGGCGCCATGTCGAAACGGCCGCTTTAAAATTGCTCGGGCCTGTGCGAAACCCGCCACCTAAAAAACCTGCAGTGTCTTGTGTCTGGACCTCTAGGCCATGTCCGGTGGGGTGAAAGGACACTTAAAAATCACCCCGTCATTTTTCGAGGGGCGGCTAGGACCCGACAAACGTCCTGGGCCGCCCCATTTTTTTTTTTGATTTTTGCCCCAGGGGCCTCCATCCAGACATGGGGACCGGACACCGGACTGTCTGGAACCCGGTCCGGACGTCCGAGCGGTTACCATGGTCTAAATGCATATTAATGCTGGAGACTCTGAAAACTTTGAAGTGGTGAAGATGCTGAAAATTTTGAGTCCCCCCGCCCCCTCTACCCCGTCTTGTGTTTGTTTAAGGGGAGGGGATGGGATTCATATAAATTTCAGCACCTATGTAAATGCTGAATATTAGTGGACCCGTTATTCTTCTCTCAAAAAGAGAGTAGATTGTGTGGCTGAAATTGACCATAACCACAATACCGTTACTTACAGGATCCAGGAAATCAAGTTCTGCCAGTAGGTCTGGTAGCACTGCAAGCGATGCCTCGTTCTCCCTGCTTGTACATGCCAATAGCACAAAGAATAGAGAGCCGGTTAACAGATGCCCAAATTTTGAATGATTTCCAGTCCCTAGCTTGAGTCTAAGAGAAGACATTACCGACTTTACCACTTTAGTGCAAATGCCCCAAACAACAATTAAATGTTGTTGACCTCCAACTATGAATAACGTAAACATGAAATTGCAGGCACTGCATAGAAAGGAAACAGTGTTGGAACAGACTCAACAGAGTAAAGTGAGGGGTCAAGGACCCAAAGCAAAATTAAATGTTCTTGACCTCTAACGAAGAGGAGAATAAACAAAAGTGAGGGGGGCCAACAAGAAAGTAAATTTGCAGGTTTGTTTGACATAGTCATATCAACGACCAACAACTGATGGTATAAACGGCGGAATGTTTTTGTTTCTTTTAAGCAGCAGAGCATACCCTTCGTGACAAAGAACTGACAATGAAAAAAAGAACGACAAGCCAGGAATGAATCTTGCAAGGAAAATCAAACAGCATCATACACATGAGACCAGATAGTCGTGACCTCGAACCAATAGCAGAATTGCATCACGAGTTCCACTAAATAAGAACACAGCAAAAGCTCATAATTGACAATGCTGGAATAGTCTCATCATCATCAACGAAGAACCAATGTTGATATCCTATCTGGCACTCGGCGCCTGGACTACAGATGGCAGATCCTGTCTAGCCTATCTACAATGCTGCTGATGACGTCAACAACTCCCCGAAGTACGAGCAGATCTCGGTCAATGCCATCGCCTCAAGCACCAGGTATGTCACTCATATCACTCACAACCTCGAACACCAACACACAGATGCCACATGAACCCAAGCACCACCATGCGCCCCATCCAGCATACAGCAGCGGAGCTCGGCTATGGCTGCCTGCTCCTTCCAGCTTGCCCGTGAGCGCATGAGCGCTGGCCAGCGTTAGCGCAGCAGCGCTTGCACAGCATGCAGCCAGTGCCCGAATGTCCAATGCGTGGGCTGGCCTTTCCTAAATGGAAGTGGCCAGCCTGCTTGCGTGCAGCCTGGCTGCGCTGGGCCCTTGCCCAGAAGCTTCCGGTAGGCCCAGGGAGGCTGAGCCTCAGACCAGACGAATCAGGCCCTGGGCCTGTGGTAGTTGCCCATTTCCAACTGTCTGCGGCCTGTGTTTGGTCCATGTTCCGTATCTCGCCCAGTGCCTGACTTAGATACATTTGATAAAGGAGGCCAGGGCCTGGGCACCTTCAACCAAACTGGCGCTGCGCAACTGCCTGAATTTTCCCCCCAGTTGCGAAGTAGTCCAAAATAGGCCTCTTGTCGTCTGTCGAGCCTGCCTTCACTTAGGGCGGCCGACCTGTTGCAGATAGGGGCACAGTAGGGCTTATCGAGGCGTGGTGCCTCGCAATCTTCTTCTTCTTCTTCTTCTTCTTCTTCTTCTTCTTCTTCTTTTTTTTTTGGACCATTTCTCAATTTATGCGTGTCATCCTTGCGCAGGGCCCATTCTAATCTTCATTCTTTGTATCGTTCCAATTTTAACGGAAACCACAAATTTGCAAAAGAGTAACAAAGCCATCCCCTGATGTTGCAGCCTTGACGTTGCCAGAGATGACGCATCCGTTTTGCAATGGTATGATTATCACTAATCAGAACCGTAGTTCCAAAGATGCCCTTCTAAGAATATCTGCGGGCCTCTTCACATTGTTGGAAAGATTATGCATTTGGCCTTGTTCATCCCAACTTCATTCAAGAAATGCATTTGTAATTTTGTAGAACGAAGCTCCAATTAATGGCAGCAGCCGCAAAACACAATTCTTCATCACAAAACTAGCAATTGCATCTTTTTTCCACAAAGGGTTGCCCAGTTTATTACTTGTTGTGGCACCAAACTCCGTGGTAGATGTTGAGTTCGACTCCATGCTCTTGGCCTAACTGTTATGACCCTGACCAATTTCGAGACACACATCCACTGAGAAGTACAATGCCATCCAATTGCAGAAAGAAGTGAATGAACTTGAGAGGAGAGAGAGGAGTAGAAGAAGAAGAAGAAATGAGAAAGAAGAAGAAGAAGATGTACACCAGCAAAGATGATGACAAGGCTCTTCTTCTTCGCCCAACAATCTCCTCCTCCTTATCTCCCCCTTCTCTTATTCATACAAGAAATAATAATACAATGTTGAATGACTGGTCCAGAATCATGTCCGAGTCCCTCTTCTACTGCAGGTGTCACTCAAGGTCCACCATAGCCATGGCCGCCTCTCCCACACTTTACTCTCATAGGCCAAGGCTATGGCGGACTACTAGGCCTTGTTCCGATGCCCAAAGGACAACACAAAGCAGCTATGGCTGCTCGGACTCAGGCCGCCATGCCCAACCCTGCCCTGAAGCTTCTTGGTGTGGCTCTYCCCGGCWGGGGACTCCTTGCTGCAGCGCCCACCAAGGTGATGAAGATGGCTGCCACCATAGCCAGGTAAGTACCCCTGGCGCTCCTCCCCCTTCCTCCTTCCTTCCTCCTTCTTCCTCCCTCGTGTCCTTCTTCTTCCTCCCCAGCAGCGCTGCTCCAACTTAGCGCTGCTCCATCCAGCGCTCCACCAGTGTGTTTGCCAAACTTGCACACCGAAAAAGAGGCCGGGTCTTCCGCCCGACCAGATGATATAGTGGCCTGCTTGCCTCTTGGGCGGTGACTTCCAGGCCGCTGGCCTTCCCAAGCAACCGGTACCTCCTCCTCTTTTGGAGGGAACATCATTGCAGACTCTGATATTGCCCCTACAGGGCCTAGACTCAGACTGGTACCCGCTAGACCTAGCCTACCCTACCGGCCTCTAAAAATGCCACTTTTGTCTTCTTCTGCTCGGCCTCCGGCACCTGCATATTTACCCCCCTACCGGGTGCGGTACCGGCCTACCCGCTACTTGAGTGCTTTTCCCCCTGCTGCAACCTTCCAAAGCCACGGCCACAGGTAAGTACCGGCCCTGAGGGCCCAACGAACGAACAAGTGCCCTGGCGGGCCACACACACACACACTCATACCAACCAGCACTCAGACAGGCACAGTCACACACGCAAGCCAACCAGCACTCAGACAGACATGCAGTCCAGCAAGCACACACACACACAGACTAAGCAGGCGGGGAACTCAATAGGGCATTCAGTCCGTGAGCAAAACTCTGAAATCAGCTGTGTGTTTCAGTCCGTGTTTGGACGGGTTATCACAATACCCCCCCCTCAAGAGCGAGGTCCCTTCGAGCGAGTAACTCATTCCAAGTCCTCGGCAAACGCATCGTAGGCGAGAAAGGCAAAGAGATTCCTGGAATACTCTGTTGCAGAGAGCCTTGCTGAGATCTTCGGTGTGGCGTTAGCAACGATCTGTCGCTCGTAATCTTTAACAACGCGCGGTGCGCTGCGTAGCAGTTCCTGTTTGGAGATCCAGTAGAGATCATCTAACAGGTGATACATGAAATGAACCTGGTACTGTCTGTTTCTCCCTTTACCTACATGCTGTTTAATTCTATCTATCTCATGCCCGCCCTTGATTGCGCGAGGGATCATATCTTCGCGGTAATCGAATGTCTCGGCATCACGATGGAGATTCAGTTTAGAAGCATGAAACACGGGATATGTGCGCAGGTGAGCTGGCACGTCCACAACGTACGAAGGGCCAAAATGATCTTCCCCGATTACATTCAAAACTTCCCAAGGCCCGTAGTAGAGTGGGAGGAGTTTGCGTGAGACTCCCTCCTCCTCTGAGAATTCAGACATCTTTACCCATACATAACTTCCTACCTGAATCTCCGATGGTTTGCGCTTCTTGTTCGCATGATGAATCATGGCATGCTGTCGCTTGGTCATAGCTGCAACAGCAACTTTGAGCAAGCGATCATACTTAGCCCTGAAGCCGGGCCTGCCGGGTGTTAAACCAGCCGGCTGCTCAGGGAACAAGTAGGAGAGCGGATTGCGGATCTGCCACCCGTAGTGCAGCCTGTTGGGCGTCGTGGCGGTGGCAGAGTGGACTGAGTTGTTGTACAACCCCTTGACAGAATACAGCTCCTCATCCCATGTTTCCTGATCAGGAATGATCAAAGCACGGAGTAGTTGGAATACAGTCTGGTTGATCTCCTCAGCCAAACCGTTGGCTTCGGGGTGTCGGCTAGATGTCATGCACAGTTTGATTCCTAGGTGGGACGTGAACTCCTTCCATTCAACGCTAATGAACCGCGGGTCCCGATCGCTCACAAGAGTCTTAGGGGTTCCGAATTGCAGCAGGTATTTATGCTGGAATTCCCGAATCACTAGATCTGTTGGGGTGTGGGGCGGTAGAGAGATCAGATTAAGAAATTTTGAAAATCGGTCAACAATCACCATGACTTGTGAAAACCCATTCTTGCTTACCTTACCCATGTCAGTGAAATCGATGGAGACAGATTCCCCGGGACCATCAGGAATGGGTAGGGGTGTGAGTAGCCCCATGGGCTTTTGTCTGCATGGTTTGATTCGTTGACAGACTTGACATTCAACTATAAATTTCTCAGCAGTCCCTTTCATACCAGGCCAATCAAACTGTCTCAGCAAATTAACATACGTTTTTGCCATGCCGAAGTGCCCGCTCCGGCCATGAGCCAAGTCCAGAAAGTGCATGCGGAGAGGCTCGTGGTTGGGCACACACAAACGGTCATGGTTCCCGTATSGTCGAAAAATCAGTCCTCCATACTCGTGGAAATCAGGCTGACTACTAGGATCAGCCCGCAGCTGCTCAAGGACGGAACTGAGTTCCGGATCCTTGGCTGTCTGCTCTACGAGGTCCTCCTTCAATTTCTTCCGGAGGTCGTAGGATTTCACAAGGCAAGTCATGTACTCAGGGTGGCGAGACAAAGCATCAGCGACTCGATTGTAACAACCCTTTTTATGTCTCAATTCAAAATCAAAGATGTCAATCTCATGAAACCAGCGAAGTAAGGTAGGGGACAGAGTAGTCTGCATTTTGATCCACTTCAAGGTCTCATGATCTG